AACTGTCATCATCTCCATCAACTCTTTTACCTTGCTAACTGCCTTCAACAGTGCTATATGTAGTAAAACAAACCTGGCCTCCCTTGTTTTTTTGTTCTTCTTTAACCATTAATACACCAGTCAGTAGTTAGCTTGCTCTGAATCTGATTGGCTAAGCTTGGCTGTGAGCTATGTTTGATGTTCGGTGACATCGTCCTGAGGTGTCAGCGCTAAGTTCAGGTCTGATCACTCAAACCATGTTAGGATGTGGTCTGGGATGCATGTGGCCGCATTCTCTTTAAGTCCTGTTCCTTGTATGAAGCTGACCTCTCTAAACCGCTACAGTTTAATAATGAATCAAACATATGGTGATGCTTCTCAGTGTCTATATATTGATTTGCTTGTTGCCATCGCCACAATATAAACACTGATCAACACATTATGTTCGATCATTTTCTTTAATTGGTTAGCGCTTTCTTCACAGCAGAACTGTACAAGATTCATTCAGCCCCTCCAGACTTCTCTCTCTCTTTCTTACACACACAAACTATACTCCACGCAGGGACATCGGCAGATCTGTAAACTTAGGCATTAAAAACATCATCTGGTCTCTGAAAATGATGTATGTGATTATTTGCAAATAGAACGGGGAATTGAGATCTGATCCAAGTGATCACAGACTTGGCAGGATTTTAATATCAGGTGAGAACAGTTGAACTCAGAGCTGACAACTTGTGATCAGATCTCTCAGGACGGATGTAAACACCAGGTCTAACACCATCAGCCACATACTGTAATGCTCCATACTTGCAGTGAGAGAGGGTTGTAGGAAGATAAATGACAAAAGTCATAATTGTAGGAACAATAAAGATAGTTCTGTTGGTCTCTGAGAAAAGTCAACTGGAGTAAACTGTTCATACTGAGGTGTGTTGTGTTCAGGTGCAGCTCATAAACGATGCCTACAACCTAGTGATTGATGCCATGCTGGGCCCAGAGTCAGACTGGACCGACATTAAGGAGCCTTACTCTGGTATTCTGGTCACCCTGAAGCAAGTCAAGATCCCCATTGCCAGTGTGGATGTGCCTTCAGGTAGGTGTTCATGCAAACGTTAGATATCAGGCTGGAAACACATGATGAATGAGCCTTCAGGCAGCTGCGCAGGAGCGTTGGCTCCCAGACTGGAGTTTGGAGGTACACGGGGCAGATACATTCTACAGTCTGCTCAGTGTGAGTTCATCATACCCTAAATACACTACTTGCTAATTCTGAAAATGATCACAATGATCTCTTTCTTCCTGTCTCTCTCAGGTTGGGATATAGAGGAACCGAGTCAGGACGGGATCAACCCCGACGTTCTCATCTCGCTTACAGCACCAAAGAAGTGTGCCACGAGTTTCACAGGGAAGCATTTCTTGGCTGGACGCTTCCTGCCCTATGACATCCAGAAAAAATACGAGCTCAACCTCCCAGACTACCCCGGCACAGACTGTCTCATAGAGTTGTAACACATGGGATCCAGTGTGGCCTCACCTCAATAAAAAATAAAAAAGTACAGTTAATCTATTCTCTTGTTTTGTATTTTCTAGATTGATGTGATCTAACGTTGCCATCTCAGTTGTATGAAACAAGTTACATGTGCTGTTGAGCTACAGTAGAGGGATAATATTTAGAACCTGTGGTTTCATGTCTTTTTAGGGGAATGGCCCAAGGATTTTTGTGTGAACTTGTAAAAGCTGTAGCATTACACTGTTTTCTGACTTTTCACAGTCAGCAAGCAAAGATTAATTTTTTTATGATGCCAATAACTGGAATTTTATTTTCAGCACTTTCTTTTTGACCGTTCATGTTCTGATGCTTTTTTGTTCTCATGTGTAACTTTCTAATGAAACGTGCTGCTGAGGAGAGTCGGTGTAGATCGGAGAATCCAAATGTTCATTTCATTGTTTTGGTTGTTCCAGCTGCACATTAGTATTGCTTCAGTTTCTCGTTGTCCAATAAAAAAAAAAAAAACGTTAAACTTAAAGAAAACTTAAGTTCTGTATGTTTTGTTTTCTTTCAGTTAAAGCTGCAATGATCAATCTACTGTACTTTAGGTTAACACAACATTACCAATATGGCCATACAATGTCTTAAAAAAAAAAAGATGGATGAAATTGCGGCCACTGGTAAACGAGCGACCAGGCTGCATTGTATGCACATCACATAGCGATTAGAGTTGTGCTCCTCAGATGAGTGCACACTGTTATGTATGTTTATTGTTTCCCATTTGGACATGATTTGGTAATGACAGCCATAACCAGGTGATCGGACTATAATCAGTGTGTTGGAGGGTCTCTCATTATTGAGCTTAGGGTAGCAGGCTCCAATGAGAATGACTAAGAGAGGCTGCTGTGCTGTTTATGGATGAGGTAACGTGTATTTATATGATGCACAGGAGCTTCTTCTGGATACTGATGCAGTAATGCCTTGTGAGTGTGTGTGCACACGTGAGAGTGGGCGAGGAAAGTCAGTGAAAAGGAATGTCAATCCGCTCTTTCGCTCGGTGGTATTAAATCTTCCAGAGGAGAGCTGACGAGGGTTGTAGAAATATGTCTGAGCGCTCAGTGGTCCTGTCTTTTATGCCTGTCCAATACCCGTCAGGAAACAATGACTTGTCACCACCACTTGTCGCTTGTGCTTCTCGTGAGAGCGGCTGAGAAATGAGCTCTGGAGTTGTCGGTGGCCCGAAGAATTGAACAATCATAACTGACAGCGGCACTTGTTTTAATATCCAGTGAGATATATTCTTACACGCAGAAGAAATGTGGTGAAAGGATTTAGTGTGAGTAGAAGTAAGTCCAAAGGATTTATCCACTGCTTTGATTGAACAACGCACAAAAGCTCAAGTTTGAGTTATTTTCAGGGCACTGTCTCTGTGTAAAAATGATTCCAGGGCTTTTGTTTGTGATAGATACTGATTTTAAAATAATAATCATTTCATGTTTCATATTCGACATCTTTTATCTAAAACATCTCAGGTTATTTACAATATAGCAGCCTGATTGTGTGGGCATTTAAAGATAAAATCAGTTGGTTATTTTTAGAAATTTTAATAAAATGCGACTTGTTTCTTTAAGAACATAGTGGGTCTTATAATCTTCTCATCCAAAATATTGAGTGCATGGTTATGTATCATCTTCGGCAGTTTTCATATTGTTGAAGCTGCTTGTGATCTTTAATTATGACAAAGGTTTTAACTCCTTTATATGTACAAGTACCACATCCTACTTCAGTAAAAGTACAGTAATATCACCAAAACCCACTTAAAGTGGCAAAATGAAAAAATATTTGGCAGATGTACTATAATGAGTTTTAACATCATGTGAGCAGCATTTTGCTATTGTAGCTGGTTGGAGATTGGTTCAGGGTTCAAGTTGAGGACCAGAGGTTTTGTGAGTAGCTTAAACAATGCTTACTTAGTATAACTTTCTTTTAAAGAGCAATTTTTTTTTAAATTACTTAAATGAAACCATATGAGAGTCTCACAGTAAAGTTCCCTCTTTGGTGTAAATGATAGCTACAACAAGAGATCTGAAACTGAACATATGGGTCAGATCAGATGTTACTGTTTTGGTGGAGTTGACAAGTCAATAAGGCTAAAACATCATGTTTTGTATCGTAGCTAATGTAAATTTAATTAAAATTCAATATTCATCTGAAATATAACCATAAATAATAGTTGGTGTAAAAACAACAATATTTAACTTGGAGGTTATGTTTTTATCCCTGTTTGCTGGTTGATTTGTTTGTAAGCAATATTACACAAAAACAACTGTAATACATAAAGTGGATAGGTGGAAAAAAGTTGCTTTAAATGGGAATACTTAACTTAGGTACAGGTACCTCAAAATGGTACTTAAATACTGTCAGGTGATAAAGAACCAAATCTTTTTTCAGATGATAAATTCCTTGATAAGTTGCTGTTAAACACATTTTTTTATTTCCAGTCAGGAGGGATTTATAAAATGCACATAACCTTCTTTCAATTACCAAGGACTTTACAAGCATCTTTACTAAATAGCAACAATTTACATGTTGCAAATAAACCTGAGTACCATACACTTCATAACTGCGTCTCGTGTCTGCGTTCGGAGAAGTTTTTACTGAATGGCATGCCATATGACGCCACTTCCACTCTTTGGCAGAGCACCGGCTTGCAATCAGAGACTGTTAGAGAGCTACAAAACTGAACCAGAAGTCCAAACCAGGGAAAGAGCAGCATCTGGCACTGCGCTGTGTTTGTTAGAGAGTCAGATACAGAGAGGGAGACAGATGGGGGCAGTGAAGGACACAACATTTGAAAGAGGACGATTAGTGTGTCTTCCTTTATTTGATATAGAATCAAGAGCTGACATCATGACTGACAAGATTACCTGGTCTAAAAACAAGAGATGAAGAGTAATAAAACATAGAAATTAAATAAGCTACACACATTCACACCTGTGAATGAATATAACTATACACTGTACAGAAACGTCAAAATATTGTTACACAAGAGACTAAACTTGTGAGACCTTGCCTGGAAAAAGAGGAAAACACCTTCTTATTTTGAGCAACAACACACACACACACACACAGAAACACACACACACACACACACACACACACACACACACACACACACACACACTCCCTCCCTCTGCCTCTGTGTGAGTGACTCTCTCCCTCCCTACCCCCACCATACCCTCACCTTTTTTGGGAAGATGATATAGGGGGACCCAGATGTTACATTTTACTGGCCAATGGCGAGCGCAGAGGGGCTGGATTGGTGTGTGCTCCCGATTGCCCCTTCTTTTTAAAAACGCCTGAGCTCCAACTCAGCAACTCAACTCACAGGACGAGGATCGGCGGCGACCGGCAGCATCACTCACACCTGAGACGCTCACAGGAGAATCACCAAGTTATTTCTTTTCTCTCTTTTGAGTTTATGTCAGTGGTGTAGAAAAACCAAAAAGTCACCTGTAGCTGAAAGTGTGGCACCATGTTGGAATTGAATAAGGTGGCGCTCCTGCTGTCCTTCCTGGCTTCTGCGGCTCTGGGCCAAGGTAAGCCTGATTGTTTCTTTTATCAATTATCAAATGTGAAAGTGAGAACAGCGCAATCACAGGAAAGCGCTGTAAAAAAAGACTTTCCAACAGACTCACAAGATAAATGGTTCATTGAGTTTCACAATGTTTCCATCTTTCTCGTCGCTTTCGGTGATCACAGAGGGTCAGTGTATGACGTAACAGAACTGCAGAGTTGACGGCATTTCCACAGGGACAGGCTGATAGCAGGACTGGTGGTGAGCTCACTTGTGAGGTTTGAGTGTGTTATTTTATAGACCGCCTCTGTAGTTCCTAATCTCTGATGTTAAGTCACCAGCACGTTTCACCACCGGGCTAATCAGCAGCACGTGGTGATGATGAGGTGAAGAGGAGGTTAACAGGAGTGAGCACACACACACTGCATTCTCTCACCATGTGATTAATCAGAGAAAGAGCTCTGCTGATGACAGAAAAAGAATAAGGTGGCTCACACTTTGTTTCCATAATGTCAAGCTGCAGAAGACAGGCTGCCGTCATCAGAAAACAGAGGGCCTGCTTTTGCAGCTAAAGAGCACAACTGATTTTTATGATCTCGACGATTTAATGATTCCTAAATGTAATTCCCTTCTTTTACTCTCAGCTATACATCCAGACATGAGCCTGCTGTCCTGTCTCTTCTAAATTCCAACTCCCCCACCAAACACATCATTCCTATCATCCTTTGAAAGCTCGTTAGTTGAACGCCACCAGTAGCAGCACTTTTTTTTTCTCCAAACCTGTCACTTTCTGTCTGCCATGCAGCTGCTCCACATTAAAAGAGAAGGAGCTGGCAGTTCATAAAAGAAAAAGAGTGTGGACTCACCTTAATGGTCTCCATATCCTGTTAGACTCGGAGGCTTCAGAGTCGTAAATGTCTTGCAGAGGGTTTTTCTTTGTGCGATTTGCAGATCACTATATTATTTGGTGAGGAAAGACGGTTAATATGTAAATGGTGATTCAGATTGACTCTCGCTAAAAGAGAACACTGTGCTCCAGTCACGAGGGAGCGCCAACCTTGGAGTTGGTTGTAAAATTTTATGCTTTGAGCCTCGCTCCTTCTGCAGTACGTTCACGTCTTGCAGAGAGGTGTTGCATTTTGTCCTTGTTTCACCCTTTGACGTAGCAACAGTGGCCGGTACAGATACAAACCCAGTCGCCTTGGCAACAAAAGGCAATAGCCACAAAACAGGTGACTCATTTTCTCACCTGTTGTGTTTGGATGAATGAGAAAATGGAATAAAAAGAGGAATAAAAAGCGCAGGTAAAATGATTTAAACCTGAGCAGCTTGTCACCCCCCTCCTGTCCTCACTGTGTGTCCTCCACCACTAATGTAATGAGTGTATGTGCCCACCTGTCCGTCTTCATCTGCTCGTCTTTTGTTTCTAATCTTGATCTCCCTCTGGTATTTCTCCACAAATACTTTCACCACCTTTCTCCCATCTCTCAACCTCACTCCATCAAACTCCCGTCTTAACATCTCTCCACCTATTTCTCTTTGCTCCACTCCATCAAACGTTCTCTCCTCGCCTTGTTTTCTGTCACTCTCTGCACACACCTCAGCACTCACAGATTTATGAGCTGTTTTCCTACGTGAGGGCGGCAGCTGCTGCTGAATACCACTGTAACAATGCAGCTTAACCACCTCTTAGCTATAGATCCACGTTGTTTTTTTATGTTCTTGTAACAGGACCGTTTAACCCAACCCAACCCTGTTTAACCCTTTCACAGATTTCCAATTGTCTCTTGCTGCGTAAATTATAGGCAAAGCTAGGTGGTGTATGTGAGCAGCTGGTGGACTGTTGAGAACGAGACATAGAGGCTACTTCTCCAGATGTTGACCACTTTCTGCTACAAAACACAGAGCTGTCTGGCCAGCTAAGTTTAATGACCGAGACAGGGATCACAATGGATCAATGGAAAAAGGTGTCAATTCCCATCAATGACAACCTCAAGCATTTCTTCACTACTCTTTGTGTATTTATTTATAAAAGCATATGATTTTTTTTCATTGCAGGACTAATCAGCTGATTTTATATTAACGATTTCGAGCTCCTGGCTCCGTACTTGTGCACAGGTGCAGGGTTTAAGTTCCACATATTTCTAATGGGAAAACTCAATGCCGGCCAATTGTGTTTTTAGGGAGAAAATACCCCCCAAAAAACCAAACCTTTGTTATGACTGTAAATCTCTAAATCATGAGGTTGATTTGCATCATTCGTTAATGTCAGGGACAAATCTTGCTGATTTTAATGCGCCGCAGATGTTTCAGAAATCAGACTTGGATTTTTGACAATAAGACCTGTTGAGGAAAAGACGGAGATGGATTCGGAGAGAATGAGCCGACTACTCTGTAACCACACACCTCAACGAAGGAGGTGGCTAAACACGTAAACATGTGACATGGCAAAAAGATCATCACATACCCAGCAGGCCCTCATACACAAATACATACAATGGCATCCATGAAGCTAAATTTAAACAGGTCTAGACGACTGTGACATCAGCACACACTATTGTGATCGGGGCTGATCCTGATCTTGGTCTTAAGTCGATGCATATATTGCACAGCCTCTGATCTAGCTTGACTTTGTTCAACAGGTTACATAACAGGGGGGTGGGTGGTTGGTGTTTTCACATTTTCGCCTTCTCCTTAAGATTCTGCAATATAATAAACAGGATCCAGACCTTTTTATTCAAAGGCCCGTCCCTCTGCCAACATGAATCTGGCACAACCATACCTCTCTGAGCTAACTGAAACCATTCTGGGTGCAACGTCATAAAGTTCCGCATTTTCCTCCCTCTTCCTCGCTTTGGCAGCTTTTTCATTCGATTCTGGCAAAGATGGAAAATTCCCACTCAGAAAGTTAAGGAGAGAGAGGCTGTACTTTGCAAAGACACCATTGAAAGAAAGTTTTGGCCTTGGGTAGCCTGGCTATAAGTACGCTGGCTGAATTTCAGAAAGTACCACTGTGACGTAGATCATTAAATTCAAAGCTATAGTCCTCCAAAGTAAGACTTGCAGTTGTCACAAAACAAGTTCAGGGTGCGTTGAGATAACAATGCAGGATGAGAAGTAATCCAGTAGCTACGTGTCAGGCATGTAATTAACATGGTGTGGAAAGTAGGTGCTTAAAGTGTGTCTATATGTGGAACTAGATTTTAACCAGCCGACTTCCCAAATAACCTGGTGCCACTGCGATGCATTTATGTTGCCATGGATTACCAGAATGAGGCTGGCTGAGGTTTATAATAAATGGTCACATATCAAAGGTTGAACCGAAGCCACATATGTTTTTGTTAAAGTGACAAAGCCCAAATTTGAGCAATTATTATAGAAGGAAAGAGGAAACCTATAGAATAGAGCGAAGGAAGAAGGTCTGGGTGGGTGGTTGGGTCAAAAAAAACAGTAGTCTTCTGACTTTAACAGAAGACTACTGTTTCTTTCCCCTTTTAAAATGCCAATTGTTTTTTTCCAATGTATCATTGATCTTTCCCCAACGTTTTGCAGCCATGTCGATTGTCTTGTTCACAGAGTAGAAATTTTGATCCAACAAATCTTTCAAAACGTGTCCATGCCCTCAAGAATGATGTCATTTTCCTCTTTCTTCCAAAATAGTTACAAATAACTATCAAACAAAATGTGTTTTATGATGTGACAGTGGTTTCTATTTCATTCTATTTCACATAAGGGAACAATAGGACTCTTTTTTTTTCTATAAAAGCAACAACATTGACTTGTGGTTAGAAATGGGAAACAAACATTGGACTCAATGACATCAGCTGACTTCTTATTTTGTTCTTATTTCTGTAGCTTTAGAGATCTTGGTCACTTTGTTGTGAATAGCCTATTTGTGGAAAGCACAAGGAAACCTATTGGACAATCTGTTATTTTAACCCAAACCAGGAACCATCCATAAAATACCTTAAACACACAGATGTTTAAGACTAGACTAGACTTGGCAGTGTTTTGGGCAGTAGCTCTGACCAGAGGAAAGATATGGGTATTTTCAAAGTGTAGCCTGCTCCTGCTTTTTCAGGATTACCAACTCTAACTTTAAGGGTTTTGAAAGGCACAAATATGAATCATCCTATCGATAGATCTGTCAGATCAGGTAAACATTCCATGCTTTTTTTCTACAGGATGAGGCCCAATGATTTATTTTTGTTGTGTCTTGCTTCTATTACTATTGCTGTAAAAAGCTTTTCTACAACTGTAAAAAAGATTTCTGTGAGCAAAGCAAACAACCCAACCCACACAGAGCAAATGAACAAGGACAAACAAGATATACTGTTCCAGTGGGACAATTCAGAGTGGATTTTTTTAACACTGAAGAGGAAATCATAAGTTCTAACCTTGCTCCCTCTGGCTTGAAAAACTCGATGAGGTAGTTTCACTCACATGCCAGCCACATGAAGCAGCTGACCCCAACAAAATCCTGGCTTTTAAAGTTCATAAAGTGTTAACATGCCGCTCAAATGCACAATAAGCTCTGAGAGATGTTGCCATCAGAGTTGGGCCAGTTCAAACCTGCCACAAACAAGGTCACTACTCCAGCAGTCTCCTGCTGCAGCTGATCTGAGTTTCCTCCTTTTAACTTTCTAAAACCATTAGTCACCTCATACAACCCCCAAGAATCGTATGCTATTTCAGTTTCACCGTCGGACATCTTGAAATGATAATATCAATCGAAATTGGTCTGCAGTGAATTCCCTTTGTTTTGGTGTGAGCGATGAGGAAACATTGTGCATAACAGAAAAAAGAGCATTATGATTTCATTGAAAATACGGGGCACTTATAGGGATGTAAATTATTGACACAGTGTTAATTAACTGAAGCAAAAAGCTTGGTGTGGTGGAAATTTATCTCAAGATGTGAAATAAAGAGTTTCTCAGACCGGAGTGGTCTTGAGGTAATTTAATAGAAAGCTCTGTAGAGGGTTGCACAGTCAGCATGAATGCTCAAAGTGGAACAACCCTG